GGGGGGGGGGAGGCAAGCAGGAGAATAGTTTCCTATTTCCATCTACAGCCTCAAATTGGTGCTGCGCTAGGGACAGGTCTACCTCCCCAATGTTCCCATTGCTGTCTCTGCATAACGCCTGACCAAGGCCTCTCCAGCCAGATGTCTCCCAGAAATGAGATTCATTTCCCACCCCACAGGTCCCTCTGTGAGACCTTGAGAAAGAAGCTGGACCTATCTGAGACTCCATGTAAAATGAGGGGAATGAACTCTGTGTAAAAATGTTGGCACAGTTCTGCCTCAGGACCATTGCACAGGTGTTCCCTCTGCCTGGCATGCTTTTCCCCAGATTTGCACACAGCATCCTCATTTCCTTCCTGTTTTTGTTCAGATGTCCCCTCCTCAGGGAGGCCTCCTCGGAACACACCATCTCATTGATCCCCCACTTTCTTCCACAGCACTTTCCACCTCCTAAAATATATAATAAAACTTTTCTAAGCGTATTGTTTCTTATCCATCTCCTCTACCAGAACATAAGCACCATGTGACTTGTCATGGTCACCGTTTTATCCTCAGCTCCCAGGACAGTGCTTGTTATATAATAGGTGCTCAATAAAAGTGTGTGGAGTGAATGATGCAGGAATGAATGCTGTTTTGCCATAGCATCTGAAAAAATACTGACTCTCCGAATGAATTTATACACTCATTCATTGAAGTAAGTATTTATTGTGTGTCTATATGCCACCTCCTGGTAGCTGGGGACACAATGGTGAACAGGCACAAAGTACCTAAATGTCTCTGCCACTATGGAACCCACACTCTCAAGGGGGACAAACACTAAATAATAACATTGATGAAATGATACAAGGAAGCCCCTAATTTAGGGGAGACAAATCCAGATACCTGTGGGATCAGGGCTGGGCCAGAAGAAGGTACCAGGATATTGAAGCTGAGGCTTTGAAGGATGAATAGGAGTTCACCAAGGTAGAAGAAAAAGCAAATGCAAAAGCATAGAAAAGAAAGGTATATTCAAGGACCTGCAAACAGTTTATTTTGCTGAAAAGTAGAATTTGGAGTGGGGGTGATTTCTGAGGCTAGGAGATGTGTGGCCAGACCCTGTAAAGACCTTGAATGCCATGCTGAGAAGTGGGACTGTCTCCTGGGGGCAGAGAGGGGGAATCATGGAGGGTGTGTGAGCTGGGAGCAGAGAGGTCAGATTCAGATTTATTGTGTGGTCCCTGAGTTGCCCTGAGTTGACCTTGGCAAGTTGTTTCCCCTTGGGAACCTGTTTCCTCATCAGGACATGAGAGTACTAAGACACTCAGAGTCACTTGGAATTGTTCACTAAAGGGTGTGGCTAGAACAGGCCATACTGCTCTGGGTTGTTTGCCCTCAGTGTACTGGTAAGATTTATTTCACCATAAAAAATGGTAGAACCTGCTGGATAGAACCTACTTCCTCCAACACCCACCAAAAAAGCTATGTGTTTTCATTGGCCAAGAACCTCCTGGGGTACATCTGCCAGGTGTGGGTGCTCTTAGGCACCCCTCACTCCTGTCTCCCCCATCACCAGGGACGTCTGCCCCATCTCATTTGGTCCAGCCATACTAACCTCTCCACAGTTCCTTAACCACCCAGGCTCAGCCTTTTGCACTGCCATTTCTTTCACCTGGGAAGCCCTGCCTTCCTGCTCTTGCCCTTGATCTTCAGATTCAGCCCAATGCGACCTTGATAAGGGAAAACTCGGTCTAAAATGGCCAAGAGTCCATGTGGCCCCCTCCCCAGGGCTTCCCCTATTGCCATCCTATGTTCCCGCAGCCCCAAACGGGAAAGGGCCTTTCCCCGCCCTAAGCAAGGTAGAGCTGCCACGCAGGGGGAAGCATGTGTGTATATAACTCCTTGCCCGACTGTGCTCTGGGCTCAGACTTTGGAGTTGGACTCCTCTGGGCCCCCCAGCGTAAAATAAACCTCCTGAACCCCGAGCCTCCGAGTGCCGCTTGGTCTTTCCATAAGGTGAACGTCTCCGGTTCCGCAACATTTTGGTTCTCTGACCAGGAAGCCCAACCGCCTGGCCCCTCGCAGCCACCGGTTTGGGTGGGAGCGCAGGGCAGCAGACGACAAGGAGGAGTCCCAGGGGAGAAGGCGCCCCTGCCCTGATTTGGCAGTCACCGATCCGGCTGCCTCCACTCGGCCCCGCACCGAGGCCCAGCACCGCGGTTCCTGCCGGACTTGAGGAGGCGAGGCGGGACAGGACCAGGACCAGGGCATCGGACACGGTAAGGCCCCGGGGCCCCAACCAAGTCAGGCCTGCCCGAAGGGGTGGAAGGGGAGCCCCATCACCTCCCAAGGACCACTAGTGGTCCCCAGGTAGGGTTAACCAGGGAGGGAATGTCATAACCTCTGAATGACCGAGAGTGTGAATGTGAGTGAATGTGTCTGTGATCCCACGGCACTAGCCGTGGGCCCCAATCCGTATCCATAGTCGGCCATAAGGACATAACGGTGACTCAGCTTCGCTGACCGGGCCCGGGGATTATACGGGTGCACCTTAGTCAAGGCGGATCCAAGTTGCCCTGAGGCNGCCCGGGGATTATACGGGTGCACCTTAATCAAGGCCGGCCCAAGTTGCGGCGAGGCAGCGGACAGCCAGGCATCTGAAAGGTCCCTCCAGGGACCCCCCCCCCCTTTGTCTGTATCCGATACCATACACGGGAACATGGGAGGACGTCAGGGAAAGCCCACCGTGCTAGACTGTATGCTGAAAAACTTTGAGAAGGGATTTTTCGGGGACTATGGCATCAAAATGACTCCTAGCACTCTTCGCACTTTGTGCGAACTTGAATGAACCACCTTCGGGGTCGGTTGGCTCTTGGGGGGGAACCTTGGATGTCCCCACAATCCGCTGGGTCTGGCAAGTTGTCACCGGAAAATCCCGGCCACCCAGACCAGTTTCCTTATATAGATTCCTGGTTAGAAATAGCGCAGACTCTCCCCTCTTGGGTACAGTTCTGCACCAATAGGCAGGGAGAGGCTAAGGTCTTCGTTGCTCAGCCTGAAGGAAAACAGATCCCTTGAGTTTTTGCGGGAGACCAAGAAGAAAGTCAGCCTCCTAGCAGCAGCCCTCAGAGAGGAGGGGTCAAGAGGGCAAAAGAAGACTCCCAGGCCAAAGGGGGGAAATCGACGGACCCCACTGGCGGCAGACCAGTGTGTCTATTGCAAGGAGACTGGGCACTGGAAAAATGAGTGTCCCAATAAAGGAAAACCTTGGAAACCTAGCAAATATCAAGGGGAGCCACAATAAGGCAACCTTGTTGGGTTAGCCAGCACAGGCTCTGACTGAAGGGGACCGGCCTCGATATTCCTTGGCCTCCACAAGCCCATGGTCAGGATGGATGTTGGGGGCCAAAATGTGACTTTTATGGTAAACACCAGAGCAGAACACTTGGTAGTCACTATGCCTGTGGCCCCCCAGGGAGGAGGACAGCCACAATACTTGGAGCGACCAGGGACCGGGCTGTCCAGAAATCCTTCTGCCAAGCTCGCTGTGTGAACTCGGGGGCCATCGGGTGCGGCCTGAGTTCCTGCACATGCCTGAATGCCCCACCCCTCTCCTCGGCCCAGACCTCCTCTCTAACCTAGGGGCCCAGATCACCTTTGGACCAGGAGGGGCTACCACCCTGCAGCTACACCCCAGTAGCAAAGACTTTGCACCCCTCATTATGGCGGTTGTCACCCCAAGAGAGGAAGAGTGGAGGCTGTTCAGCATACTGGAATGGAGTGAAAACTCCCCCAGGTTCCAGGCGGAATTTCCTCTCGTCTGGGCTGAAGATAACTCTCCTGGACTCGCCCTCAATCGGGCCCCAGTGGTAGTTGAGCTAACACCTGGCGCTTGTCCACAGAGGCAAAGGCAGTAAGTATCCCATCTCCTGAGAGGCACCCTTGGGTATCTGAGACCACCTAGTCAAGCTCAGGGACTCTGGTATCCTGGTCTAATGCGAATAGGCTCGGAACATTTCCCTGCTGCCTGTCAAGAAACCCGGGGGTGGATACCGGCCAGTGCAGGGCCTCCGGGCCATCAACAAAGTAACTGTCTCCTTGCATCCAGTGGTTCCAAACCCATACACCCTCCTCAGCCAGGTCCCTGACACCACCTCATGGTTCACCTGCCTAGACCTAAAGGATGCCTTCTTCTGTCTTTGGCTCGCACCCCAGAGCCAGCCCTTATTTGCCTCTGAATGGACAGACCCAGACCCAGGAAGACAGGTGCAACTGACCTGGACCCGGTGACCACAGGGTTTTAAGAACTCACCCACCCTGTTCAGAGAGGCTCTAGCCGCTGACTTAGCCG